GACCTACCACAATTACACTTTGTTTCATTTACTAGAACAGAGCCACAATAAAAATTTTACTCATGATAGCTTTGTAAAGCCATTTTTACATAAATCCTTCCATCTCCTTTTGCAGCAGGACATGATATTTATGCAATATATACATTCATGAAATATAGGTGAGATAACATTGAATTGGAGGTTTCAGATTAGACACCTGGGCCTTGAGCTGAATACTTAACTACTGGGACTATGAAATGTGCATGTATGCATCCGAGTACACAGCACACATCTGCAGCAGGTGATGCCAATTTAAACACCTACAGTAAGGGCACACAGTGTGATTAGTCTGTGACTAATCTAAGGTTTCATAATTCAGTTAGAAGCCCTATAAGTAAAGACAGCTTCTGAAGATTTCATTTATGAAATAGGTTTCTCTACTTGTTTTGGCAATTATCTAATAGATGGCAAGGTACCAGTTCTGTTTTTCATCAGTCTGTGGTTCCTTCAAACTCAAAGCAATTCTAATGTTACATTAAAGACAATGCAGGAATTTAAATTCCCTGATCTGCCTGGAGAGGCACTAAAATGTGCACTAAAATTTATTAAACAGTGCGTGTTTAATAATGTGGGGTTCGGGTTAAAAAAAAAGAGAGAGAAACTAATTTTATGTCTTGTCAAAGTTTGAGAGTTGAAGAGATTGCTATCTTGATGTACTGCCATGGCACTGCTGATGAAGCACAGGGCTCTCTGACTGATGCTGACTGCCCCAATTATCCCCTGGTCTTTGAGGGATATGGGCAAATTGGTGCTGCTCCAGCTAGGACTGGGAGGACACAGATTGCAGAAGCAAGAGAGCACACAGTTCTGTAAAGGGCTCTGGTTTAAAGCATGGCACAAATGAAACAAAAAGCATCCAAGGACAACAAATTGAAAACGCCCATCTGCTTTCCTCCCCATCTCCAATTACAGAATTTTTGCTCCAGTTTATTTCTCTTTGGAAACAACTTTTTACAGCTGCACATGGCAAGTACTTAGCTAGTAAGCAAAGAGAAGAAGCTGGAAAGAATGATTATTAATGGATTCTGCCAAAAAGTAGTCAGGGCAAAGTCTTTCACAGCTCAGGACACAAACTAGTCGATCTCCCCCTAAACAAAGACAAAAGCATGTCCTGGACTGCTTTCCTGGGAGGGAAAACTGCACAGCTGCATTGCCTACTGCTGCTACCCAGGCTGGAAACATACAGCAACCCTCCACTTTATGCTTATGAGGCTGGTTTAGTCAACACATGTCAAAAGAGAGTGTTTCCCAAGTTATGGTGAGTAAAAACCAATAGGTTCCACTCAGTTATCTGTATTTTATTTTAAATATTTATTTCTCTGTTTTCTATTACCTTCAACAACGAAACATTTCCGTGAAGCAAGTGTAGGCAAAGGCAGTGTGCCATGTGGGTGTCTGCCCTGGAGGGCATGGGTTTACCAGGGAGCTCAGGCCACTGTAGTGGCAGCCCATGCAAGGCCACATCCAGGGACTGCATAGCTCAGGCCCAGGCAGATGTGCCAGGAAGGTGAATATGCCAAGAGGGACAAATCCACATCTTGTCTGAACTCGGCAGGAGCCACAAGCATTGCCTGAGGAGACACAAGGTGCCTCATCCAGCTGCTCCAGGGTCAGAGCAGTGCCTCCTGGCTCCTGCCAGTGTTGTGGAAGTGGTGCCCAGCCAGGATGGCTCCTCTGTGTCAGCTGGCAGCCTGCCACACAGGTGGCACCACAGGAACTCACTGGAACCCAGGGAACAGTAGGGTTTGGAGGTTATTGGCCTCCATTCAGGATAGCAGGTCTAGCTGAGCTCCTGATGGTATTCCAAATGCATGTTTTCCAAATTGCATGAAAGTAGTAATTTAGTGTCGTTTAAGCTTAAAAAAAAAGTATGTATGACATACCACTGTCATGAAAACATACCCACAAAACCAAAAGCAGCCACATACCATCATTCAGCATCTGCATTTCCTCTTCAGAACATTAAACAAATCCTCCTACTCCAGTGAACTGCTGTAATTTGTCCTTGCTAGTGCCAGTCTACCAGCAGTTCAGAAGAGAAAACAGATTGGTACCTGCAGGCTGTAGGGCTCAGTGCAGGTGCCCTGAAACAGCAAGTATTGGAGGGTGGCAACCCATTTCCCCTTACCTGTAATGAGAGTGGCTGTCACAGTTGTTGAACCCCAGCTAAAGTTATCATCACATCTGCTGAATCCTGTAAATATGGCCATACCCCTGACCAAACTGGCTGAATGATTTGGTTAGCTTGCAGGGGTAAAACTAAACTTTATTTTAAGTAAATTTGAAGGCTAAATTCAGCATATGGCAGACTGGCCTACAACTCCTAATATCTTTACTTTCAAAACCAGAATTTGTACTTAGATGGAGAGTTAAGAGCTACTTCAAATCTGAGGCCACAAGCTTCTAGATAAAAAGCAAATTTTTTTCTAAACTCAGAGACCTGTAGTATTTGAATCAAACTCACGGATGAAAGTAAGCTTCAGATTGGTTTTATCAGGTCATAAGACATTATTATTACTCTCATGAAGTCTACTTTCTCTTTTAAACTGCAGCCCTGATGATTGGCAGTCCTCAAGAAATGATGATGCAGGGATCATTATTTTCTTCCACATCTGCCAAGGCCCTTGTGAGCAGGCCGGGTCACAAGGAGAGCCAGTCCAGGCACCACCACGCAGAGAAAAAGCCCTGCTTCTGCACAGAGAGGGTACAGCAGCACCAGGGCTGCTGCATGAACAAAGCCTCAACTTTGCAGCCAAACACTTCTTCAGGTGAGCCTTGATCCGTCAAAATTTGCTATTAGGGAACACTGCTCAACACAGCCAGCATGAATTCAAAGTTTGCCATTAGTACCAGACTTATGAGATCTGTGATGTAAAGAAACAGTTTTCCTGCTTCCCACAACTGTTCGCCTGAGAAAGCAGCAGGGCCTGCCTTTCCAAGTGCTGCTCTTTCACCAGGAGCAGACCTGGTCATTACCTGCCACTGCTAATGATAACTCAATACTTTCCCACAGTGCAGAGTATAATGCACTCATTTTATCTGTTTACTTCCAAGAGAAAGATCTCCTCAGGAAACCCAGAAACAGTATTTTCCATTCCCTCCCTGAAAAGTGGAGTATGAAATACACTGTATCATCCATATGGAAATGTTTATCACCTTTAAAATAACTATTCAGCTTTCATCAATAACCAGAAAAATTCAAAATCACTGTCAACAAGGAGACTGAAATACAGAACAACAGACAGCAGGGCTTGAAGAGGGCATCTACCCTTCCTTCCCCTGAGTCACCATAGATTATATCATTCCTGGCAGTATTCATCTCTTTTTTCTCTAAAAATCTCCACTGATGGAAAGTCTGCAACATCTCTGTCATTAATCTTGTTATCCTAACAGCTAATGAAGCTTTTCCCAGTACTTTATTTAGACCTCAGTTTGCTGAAATTTCATTTACTATTTTTCACACTGTTTACAAGTGACGCATAAAAATTTATTTCTTTCCTCTTCATGGTTATTTGAAAACTGGTTACATGTCTTTTTGAACTTCTGCTCTTTAGGCTAAGCAATCATATTTCCCCCAGTCTTTCCTCACAGGTGGTATTTATGCTGTCATCATTACAGATGCTCCTGGGACCTTCCATAATCGCATATCATATGTGAAGTAGGTGAGAGTGACAATGCATCGTCTTCATGTCTGTATTGCATTTTAAGTTTATAAATGTCAGTTTAAAAATACTTCCTTATCTGCTTGTCTCCCTTCTTTGAACAGGCTGACCCTCCTACCCAGACAGGTAGGTTTGACTACTGACCACACAGTAGTACCACCTTTTTCAGTCCTGTGGAATAACCCCTCACCAAATCATAGTCTTTGCACCAACCCTCATCCAGCAGCAGTCCATCATGCCTGGTAAGAGCTGTGGATCCACAAATAAAGTGAGATATTTGTCTGTTCCTGGGGCTAGCTCTTCCCTCTCCCATCTCCCAAGCCTAGCACCCAGATTTTTCCAGACTGTGGTTAAGCAAGTGCACTGCTGAAACTACACCAAAGCATCAACCCAATTGGACCAGATATAGACTTAATCTAGAAGAAACTCTGAATGGTTTTGTGCTCATGTCTACAGAGACCCAAAATCCCAAACCATTCTGGGAGCCTCCCAGCATCAGTTTCTACATGGTCCACTAACCATAAGGAAGCCACAGTTGGGGTTTACAGCATTTGAGCATTTGAGACAGGAAATACTTGATCTGCTGGACTGCACCAGCTCTAGATCAGTACACTGCAGCCTATCGACAGCCCATGCTTTCTGATGGAGCCTCTGCTGCAATGAGAAGAAAATTAAACCAAAAATTCATTAAAAATTCATTACACTAAATTAAAAAAAGAAAATAAACACACTGTTTTTTCTTTCTTACTAACCATGTGTTTCAGTGAACCTTTTCATACTATGCTGGTTCATTAGAACCAAACCATAAACCATTGCAGGTTTCACTGTGCAGTTTTCAAGTGTAATGTCATCTGCTCTAAGTCAGGACAACTACAGATTCATTGTGCCTGGTCATATCATACCTTGGGTCTCCTGACCTACCTGCTAAACCTTAAATCCCTTCACTGTTAACTTTGTACTACTGTAATAGGGAAAAAAAAAAACCACCCGACAGGAAATAACTCACTGCACATGTTAAAAGCTTATGGATTTGGCATAAAATCTGATGTGACCTAAGGCACCTAAATCTGACATTAGGAAAGGTGTGGTACATCAGAGCATGCCTGCACCTGGCACTACCATTAATCCTGTCCTGGACAAGAATGACTCCTGTACTGTCACACTGCAGCCTAAGACATGAGATGGCTCTGTGGCTTCCAACTCTTACAGGCCAGGAATGACACACAGCAGAGGAGCTTCCTGTGCTGCTGCTCACACCATGACTGCCACCCCCCAGTGCAAACCCCACAGCCTCTGTACCTGGTTACCAGCAGGAGATGCTTGCATAGAATAGGAGGTCTGGTCAATTCAGTCCAGAATACACTTCCTGAAGTTAATTAAATTGCAATAACATTTCCCAAATTGCACAATCCTGCAAGGAAGAAAGGAAAAGAAATATTAATTGTGAACTGTTGAGGATCACAGAGCCTGAGCATACGTCCATTATGTATTTCCTTGAATAAGTAGAAATTCTGCATGAGAAAGTGACAGCATACTGCAAAGAAGAGCCTCCCTCCTTCTAAAGAGGAATCAGAATAGGAAAACACACTGGCTGGCTTCTCCTTATTGCTCACTGAGGCCAGAGGACCCAGTTTATTCTCAAACATATTTAAGACCATTCTTCCAACTTCAGCATAGCATACATACTATAGCAAAAGCCAATATAAATGGTGGAAGGAAAACAGAAAGGCATAAAAAGCCATGCATGTGATGGTATGACTGAACAGTTACCCACTACAACATCTGCTTCTAGTAAGAGATATGGCTCAACAACTAGCTTTGTAATTAGGAGGTTTCTGTAGTTTAAGCTAGAGAAAAACACGTGCAAAAGCTGAAACAAATGTGTGTGGGGAAGAAAAGAAGCGGCAACAGCCTGGAAGATGCGAGCTGCAAATAAAGCCCCCGCAAAAAATACACTTGACCAATTGATGTATTCAGTATTAGAACAAACAAAATTTTTAAAAATCAGTAATTTTAAAATAAGATGTAAGAACAGTAGCCATTCAGCATTTTACAGATTTACTTCTATTAAGAAATCAGTTTCAAGACCCCAGTCCCTCACAGCCACGCAACCTTTGCACGAGCTATGTGGTGAAATGCAACCCACAAGGGGATTCTGCTATGAACTTTCTGAAGCTGGGCTGTGCAGTTCCAGTTTGCTTTAGCTGGTGTTGCACATCTTAATTCCTACTTTTTCCCTTGCACAGAGTAGAATAACCCTGTGCTATGGATCCAAGTGGACACAAGTTCAACAGTACAATGCAGCCACGTTGTTTCTGGGGAGTATAACCAGCCAGTGATTCAGATGAGTGATATTGAGTGGTTTATTCTATTTATTTGCAGAATTAAAGATTCTTTAATGATGGTTTAATCTAAATTTGAAGCTCCCTCAAATCAATCAACTGCTATATTAGCATTGCTGAAGGGAAAGAAAAAAGCAAACCATTAAAAAAAAATACAGAAAAATGAATTTTTCTTCCATATTATTCCATAGATAATATATGCACAAACACATATACACAGTCTCTCCTCCTTCTGAAGTGCAGCAGGAGAGTACCCTTTGTTTCTTAAGAAGAGAGTTTGTCCCCATCTGGTTCCATTTTTTTATTATTTTCTCTTTTTGGTTTCCTTCTCTATCATTCCAATGCAATTTTAATTCATTTTGTTTAGTCTGTACTTTTTATTCCCTTTCCTCTTTTTGCAGATTTCCTTTCTAATTTGTTAGTGGAAGAAACATTCTTTCCCTGGTTTCCATAATACAAGCTGCTGGAAAAGGCCCATTCAGAAATCCCCCCTCTTTAACAACTCTCCAGCTCTTTCAATCCTGGTTGTCTATATTCACTCCTGGTAGCAGGGTAGAACTGTTAGGGTTTATTTGTTTAGGAACGTGTATCAGTTTATTTTTTAATTCCATTTCAAATACCTGGCACAAACCACTGCATGGAGGCTCAAATATATTATTTACGAGCCATTACATTTAGCTTAAAACAACTCCTAATCTATTTGAGATGAGCTGCTATAAGACAGGATTAGGCTGAAATGAAAATGTCTGCAGTGGGATTTTACTAAATTGCTTTTAAATCACAGTCCTAGTTAAACAGTGCTCCAGTGAAGACTATAAACCCTAATACATCAGAAAGGCTGATTTGGGGCAGAACTTTGGCTCCCTGAAAACTTGCTGGTTTTACAGAAGCAGAGGAGCCCAGCTAAGGCCAAAGCCTTCTCTGCGTATGAAGCCCCAAAGCACAAAATACAACAGCAAAGCTCTGCAAGGCTGAGCCACAGAGCTGTTTAAGTGCCCAGGAACAGGGCCCTGCTATTTCCAGCTTGCCAAGAGCCTCCGTGCCCCGCAGCAGGGCCAGGTGCAGCATCCAACCCCATGTGCAGGAGGCGGCAGCAGCCTGGCCCGCCATGAGCCACTGCGCTCATCGTGCGCAGATGTTTCTACACTGACCTCAGGATGAGTGCTCAGGTGGCGCAAGGAGGGCGAGAGAGCTGTGAAACTTAGTCTGGTTTTCTATGTGACCAGAAAAATATTTTTTTTACTATTTGGGAAGAAGTGTGGGCAGCTTTAGGACTTCTTGCCTGACGCTCAGATCTCTGATTTTAATGCTCGGCATGGCCTTGTTATAGCACTGGCATCCCCCAGCAGCAGCTGCATTTCTTGTGAGATTGCTGCCACCATCCCTGTCCAAGCCCCTCTGTCTCACAAGCTGTGACCCTTGGCTAGCAGGGAACTGTGCAGAGAGAGCACCTTGGCCTCCAGCCACTACTGCTGAAGCTGGCTGTGGAGCCATCACCTCCTCTTCCCCACGCTCTCCCAGCATCACGTGGACTCCACACTGCGATTTCATTTTAGTTCAGATTCTGTGCACTTACTGTATTATACATTTTATAATCCCGAAGGTTGTTTTCTTCGTAACTTTCACTCCAACTTTGCATTTCAGATTTGTAATTAATCACAATTGCATAGTATTTTAGACGTAACAAATCGATATTTGTGCTGGGGTAAAAAACATAGATCCCATTAAAGAGTCTCCCTCTGAGAACTCCCAAATTCTCCAGCACCAACCTAGCTTCATTTCATTCCTGATGCAATGTGCTCCCAAGCTGAAACTCTCCAGTACAGAAAGTAGTGATGCAATTTCTCAACAGAAATCACCAGGAATGAGAGAACACCTTAACAAGAAACTGTGCCAGTAAAATCAAAGAGAAGAGCCAAAACAGCCAAAACAAACTAAAATAAATGTTCACTATAGTCAGTGATTTTAACCTCTACTTGGAAAAGTGCTTTCTAGTATGCATTAACACTGAACACATCTATTAAAAATCCAGACCTTTAACTTACTTTATGAAAGTCTTAACAAGATGGAGAAGATTTCATCCACACTTCTAACGTGACTCAGGCCACACTTCTGCTGTACTGCAAGGCAGGCTCCAAGCTTTGCACAAACCAAGCTAACTCACAGATGAGCTTCCTATTTTTGCGCTGTAGAGTTCTGCTCGGAAATCCCACGCTGCTTACTGCCCGCCACCACAACTGCCATACAGAGCACTCCTCACCCACTGCTGCCAAAATCCAGTGAAAATACATGTGCAGTACCCCTGCAGGACAGCTAAAGAGATGTTTTAAGAGAACTAACCTGTGCTGTTTGAATCTGTTGGAGGTCACCCAGTTCTGAACTTCCCCAGCAGCTCCCGTCTCGTTTCCTGTGGAGGAGCATGTGACACACACTTCCTCACCGCACCTTGCTAGACTCGCTTTGCTTGCACTTTAACATCAGATGAAACAACTAACTGTCCCTCACAACGTGTTAAAGAAATTTCTGATCTAATGTTGAACCACTGACATTTCTGCATAGCCAAAAAGCCCTCCTCTACTGCCTTCTGAGTCACCCAATGAGTCAATGGACCTTTTTGTACTGTATATTAATACCAAATGCCAAATGTGATTCTGCCACAGTCTACTCAGTGTGCCTGCCCCCCTTTTTTTAAAGGGGAAACAAATGCAGTAGTGGAGAATGTAATTACACTGCAGGCGTGGGAAATTTCAGTTCAAGGGTATTTGTTTATCAAATGTTCGGAGTGGTAGTGAATTGATGAATTCAAACAGATGCAGTCATCAGCAATTTTCAGAAATACTTTCATTTGAATACAGTAAACACAAGTTTGAGTCCTATGAAAAGTAGTTTATGTCTTCAGAAGAGCAGAGATTTTCTCAGTTGTATCAGTGTGCATTCACATATTGTTATCTAGCACTGGACAAACAAGTCTGAACACACGTCACAATAGGAAGGACAGTAAAGTCCTAGACTAGAGTACTATGTTTAGAGGACTAGTCAATAGGTGGTGCTTTATTATTTTTTTAAAGACACATAAATTTTGGAAAGGCAATCTAACCCTGATTGCACCACCAGGTGCACTGACACAGTCTGGAGATAAAGTTTGAAGACTACCACATCACAGTAGAGGCAGAATGGTCACACCAGAGTCAGCAAGGAGATACTGCTCTGCTGGGAGATGCTCCTTGTGGAAAACACTAAATACTCGTCAATCAAGCTAAGGGGTGAAGATAAATGCTGCATTCATTTATTTAGTAACAGACAATGCCTGGGGAACTGATAAGCCTGGCAAGGCCTGGGTGAAAATGGTGGGCTACAAACCCAGAGGGTTTCCCTTACAGACTGACTGCAAAGATCTTTGCTGGGGCATAGATTGCTTTAGCTGCACCTAAGTGCAAATGGGAAAACCTTGAAGGTAGGAAGAGAATGAAGAGACAGTGATGCTGTAAAATTTGGGAGGGAAATGTTTTGGCAGCCACACTCATTTGTGGCTGTCCTGCCTCCACCATTCAGTTCTCCCACTGCATTCCTCAGTTGCCCCAAGTGTGTTGGCACAGTTGTTCCACAGCCTGTGCCACGGACCACACTGAGGAGCTGATCTAGAGGTCAAAATCTCATGAGATTTTTTTCCCCCTTTCTCACTTTCAGGCAAAACCAGACAAGTGCTAGTAGGAAGCTGGCTCTGCCACTACCCAGGCTGTCACACAAAACCATGCCTACAGTGAGAGACCAGAGCAAGCCAATCAGAGCTGCTTCTTTTCCCATGGGTAGACAAATTCTATGCAATTTCTACATAAATTAAGAGGTTTCCACTGAAATGCCATCTTTATAATTAAACTGTGCCAGATGAAGACATCAATGTTGTGAGCAGCCTCCTGGTGACCACCAGCCAGGGATTACATTCCCATCTGCTGCCTCAGGGCTTCTTACCACCACTCACTAGTTCATTACTATCAAATGAGCCAAGGTAGCTCCAGTAATTTATATCATTGGGTTAAAATAATTGGAAATGGAGTAACAATGGTTTTGAGAATACCTCCTATCCACAGAGATGTGAGAGTAGTGACCTCTGGCAAAGAGGCAGCAACAACAGGATTTACAGAGCAGCAGCTAAGTGTTAAACAAATTACCCCCAGCTAATAAAAGATACAAGTATTTTATATGTAAACATGCATAGGACGCCCATGCAAAAGGAAATACATGCACGACTGAAAACACCCCAACAAATTAGCCCAAAAAATAGATGCTTTTGAATGAGACTCACACACACACCCTTTTCGTGCATGCACTCTGAGCTCCTGCAGCTGTAGTAGGAAAGCATGTGCAAACATATGTCTGCAGATGCACCTGCTCTGCCCCCACTGAAGGTTTTGGGCCAAATGGCCAAGGTATTATTTACACTGGGAGACACTTGAGAGCACTGTGAGCCTCATGCAGCTTAAGCATCTTCTCCTCGGTAAGCATGCAGAGACATGACATGCCAGACCCCGAGCTTCAGAGGCACAGAGGGGAAGTTGAAGAGTTCAGGAAGTGGCCATGCTTGCTCTCAGTACACTGCTTCTTTGTCCTCACCCAGCTGCTCCCCCAGGAGCTTTCAGACAGCCTGGATCCCTCACAAGAGATGGGTTATTTCTCTCCATTTTAAGAAGGGGCTACGTTTACAAAGTCACTTTTAATGTGTCAACCTCTCTGTGAGGATCTAGTCACACATAATGGACTGTGCCAGAGCTGTGCTTGGAGCTGCTGGTGGGGCAAACATACTTTTATATCCCCCGTGGACACTTGGGATTGTTGGAGATGGGAGGAATTTGCTCACCCAGCAGGTAACTCACAGCAGCCCCGCAGCCACTTTGAATCCGCGCCCAAAGAAAACAGCCTCCCAGGCTGCTGCCCCAGCCAAGCTCAGAGTGCTGCCTGCCCTTCAGTGGGGCCATGGAGAGGCACTGCAGGGACAGCAAAGGCGGCTGTGTGACACCGGGGTCCCACCGTGTCCGCAGAGCTCCCGCACAGCGGGGTTTGCCGAGTCACCACTGACACCAGAGCATTTGTCAACTCTGACTGAGGACCACTAAGGCAAGAAGGGAAACATCTGAAGCCTGACAAATTCTGCCCCTCGTAAACAAACCATTTATTTCTCCATCCTTGTCACAGATGCAGAATCTGTTGGCTGGCATCTTTCAGAGAAGCAAAGCTCAAACAGGGATTTTTGGCAGTCATCTTGTGTAAGCCAACCACCTGCAACTAATGCTATGTCTCACCTTACATATATATACACACACATACACAAGACAAAACTATCTCTTTAGCTTCTGAGTGGAAAGCATACATGAAGCTCTTCTTTATGTACACCTGGGTACTTAATGGAGACATTGTTAGTAACCCTGCAAATAGCACAAGTTGTTTTTAAAGCCATGAATTGACTTCCCCTCATTTGCCATGAGATCACAGCGCTTGGTTTACAAATAAAGGACCACCCCAGCAAAAATAACAAGTTGCAGAAGTGGCCTGACAGATAAGACACAGAAAAATGTTAATAGACACTGATGTAAAGCTATTTACACAAATCATTTGCTTGTCCTGTGCTATGGAGATAAAAATGCAATCATGGGCTCTGAGGTTTTTGGTTTAGATTAGAAACTTGCATTACCCCCATATCTGAGTATAGTGGACATGATGATCCAGACTAACAGAGCATACTGAAACCCAGCATTCAAGACCAACACATACTTTCTGCCTTATAAAAACATGCCCTATTTATTCACTATATGGAAAATCATCAATATGGCTATGCCTATACACACAGACAGAACAGCAGACTGTCACCAGCTAATTATAGCAGTTAACATCTCAGTGCTCAGGCAAAACAATCTGCACTGCCCCAACTTTGAGCAGATACAACACAGGTGAATGCAAGAGTAAACCATTGTGTGGAACTGTGAGCATGCAACCACAAACAAACCAACCGAGCCCAGATCTGTCAGCCAAACCACCAGAGCCAAGCACCAATACAGAGGTGCTCAAACTTCAAAGCAGGAGCACAGTCGGCAAGAGTTTGTTGAAAGAATTACAACCAGAAACTGGGACTTCTCAGTAGCATATAATCCCTGCTGTTTCCATTTCCTCTTTCTCATTATCGGCACAGATGGGGGCTGAAGATTAGTAAACAGTGGGTGTTTGGGGTGAATTAGAGCATGTGTGATGTAGAGCTAGGTATCCTGGTGGCACCCGTGTGACTTCAGGGAGACATAAATATTTAATGTTGCCCACTACATTTCTTCAAAATGATAAAATATTAACACATTCTTTGGGGGTGGGGCATATCATACCAGATAAAACAGGGAATCTATTTTGTTCCTCATCCAGAATGTGAACAAAATCTGATGATCAAAAAATGTTCTGGCAGATTACCACTCTAGTCATGTCTATGTGGAAAATGAAGAGTTTTTGTACTGTTCAAGTCCTGTCTGAAAACAGTGTACCCCCCCTGCCCAAACTCAACTCAGAGCCCTTTACACAGCTATGTGCATATGAGATTACATCATCAGCTATCACCCCTGGGTTTAGCCACAGGCTATTCCTTTCAGAGGACAGCCACGTAAACAAAAGCCATTCCTAAGAAAACTTACTTTTGCCTAGAAATGCCTATGTGTTTCTTGAGTGAAAACTGCTGAACTGACAAACCTTGCTCTCAAAGATACTTGTCCACCCTGCTCCTTTAACACAGACATTAAGAAGAGCTCTGTAGTGCATATGTATTATTTATACATGTACATATATATGTCATTAGGTACATTTCTAAAATGAGAACTCTATTTACAAGGAAGTCCCTTCATTGTATATTATTTCTAATAGCCTTAGTATGTTCTCAGGAACCAAAAAGGAAGTTTTATTAAAAGTAAGAGTGCTGCTTGCGGCTTCCAATACTTATTTTCACATAAAATCTGATTTCTTAGTTTGTAGCTTTTTTATACAATAAGCTTGGTACACAAGCTCTTTGACCCCATCAAAGAATATGGACTTACTCAGCAGGGCAACCAAGAGAGAAACAATTAATGTTATCTTTCCAAAGGTTATTTTCAATGCTCTATCCAGTAAAATCAGCCTAGCTGTTTTTCTAGAGCAGTGTTTGCTATATTTTTCCAATGGCATGCCTAGGCTTCAAGTACCTTTTCTCAATACATAAGCATTGCTATGATGGCAAAGTTAAAATATATTTATTATTGAGCAACTTGTCTTCAGCCATTCACATGAGTCAGAAAGTTTTCAAAGTATTCAGCTGAATATTTGATGACAAATTTTATATACTTAGTTACTTCAGTAGAAAACATCAACCCGTTTTAAAAGATCACACTTGAATCAGAGTAATATTTTATATTCAAACTTCCCATGAATATCTGTGCACATATACATGGATACATATATGTACATGCAAATAAAGCTAGACAAACCTATACCTTTGAAATCACAGTCTACTTGAACATCACATTTTAAAACCACACAAACAGTATTAATTAATAAGAGCAATTTTTCATCTTTTCACAGGTCATATAATTTCAAGCTGTCACTGATGTTTAGTTTATTTCCTCTTTACATTCCGAATCTCCTAGCCAAAGCTCACACCCTCTTAATTTTTTAAAGGGAAAGCAAGTCCCAATCTTTGGGAACTTTAGTCTATTTCTTGCATTCTTCCCATGGGTGGTATATTCCACATTCGGAATAACTGGATGCCAAATATAGCCACAGATGGGAGTCTATGCATAGTTGCTGGATAATTATAAAATAGAATCAGCTTCTCTGCTGTGTAACAGATGAGATTTTATTCTTTGCTTAGCTACATGTACCAGCAGTCCCATACTGATTTGAACTATATCCAAGTAAGGTGAGCAAGATCAGGTCATGCACAAAATCAGACCACGCCTCTGTGCTTCCTTGGTATGTATTGACAATTATATTCTCCCAAAAAAATAAAACAGGAGAAAGGGAAGCTCAGGATATGAATATATATATACACTGCATATCACATTACCATTTAATTATCTGTCCAGTTACTATTAATTAGGAGAGTTTGCCACTGAGATTTCAGAGAGCAGCAGTTAAAAAAGTGACAGAGCATTGCAGAGTCCATGAAAAGTATCCAGGTAACAACCTTGGAGAACAACATTCTCTGTTTCCTTAGACAGTGAAAAAAACTCAGCCCTGTTGTGAAATCCTACATCTCACCTACACACGAGGGGTAGCCACATGGACACGTCCAAGTGAGACTGCTCACACTGCTGGCCCTGGTCTGAAAGGATCACTCATCAGCCAACAGGGAACAGCTTCAATACTTGCTGACAATCTGACTACTTCACGATGGCTTTCAGCATGGAAGTCACGCAATGCCATTTTGAGCAGGAACTTCTGCCTTGCAGAGCTGGGGTTACCAAATCATTGCATGTAGACTATGCTTAGTCTGTCAGAAAGCGATGTTTAGTCACAGCTCACCTGGCTTAGAGAGAAAACTTCTGATTTAGAAATAAAGCACCCTATTATTGCCATGCATCAAAACATGGCTTCATCAACTGCTGAAACTGAGTCAGTTATCGGGAGACTGCATTCACAACACAAACCAGCACCTCTACCTCAGAAGGGTATCCTATTGTTCTCACAGCCAGACAAATACAAGGAGCTGGACTTGTGATGCAAATTCCCATAATAAACTTGAGAAATGACAGTCAGGATAGCCCAAATGTGAAGGTTGAGCTTGAAAGCAGAGGCAGTAGTATGATACTCTGGCTCAAAACACCTTGGCACCTGGTCTCCCTCATTAGCAGAGGTTCAACACACAACTATAATTGAACATGTAATACCTGTGTTTTATTTCTTCTTTCCTCCCCCACTAAAGGCCAAGTATATAGTAGAGAAGTGAAAAATCAAATTTACAGCTAAGTTTATGGCTTATGGCTTCAAGGGCATTACCTACGCTCAATAGAAACCCCAAACTGTAATTTGAAGCATGGCTGTCTGAAAGAGTGCTGCTAAAAGAGCAGAAATGTCTTACAGTCCAATTTCTAGACTCTTCAGCAAAGCTGGCTGGCTTTCCTGACAGGCTGTACTACAGCAGTGACCTAAGAACAACACAGAGAAAAGCAGTAAAGACCTCCTAAAAACACTCCTGCTTGGCCTGAAAACACAGGTGCCTTCAGGTAGGAAAGATTAGTCACAGGCATTTTGGTAGAGCCCAATGGTTCCAGTTGGTCTGTGGGCCAAGTCCCAGCAGGCCCAGCACAGCTCCTTACGGAGGATGAACTGTGAGCTGACACTCCTCGCTCTCTCTCAGCAATGCCTCAAAGCATCCTCATGCACTGTGGGAGTCTAAAGGTGTTTCTTCACCTGTTCCCCATCACTGCAGGCTGCCAGCAGGAGCTCAGCTGCACAAGCTGTGATACAGGCTCTATACAGCTACTTGATGTTTCACGATGTTACTAGTTAGGGTTTAAGTGAACTTGGTGACATACTTAACTTCAGACTTTTTGCTGGTAAATTGGATAAGGACTATTCTTCAGCCTCAAATGCCAAAGCCAGCACTTTGCATCACTTTGGGAAATTTGGATTTTGAAGACCCTTGGCTGTCCCAAAGGCTATTTCCATGATTATACCCTTAAAAACTACTTAAAAGTTCTTTTATACTTGTCCTATACCAGACATTATTCCCTAGTGGCAGTGTCTAAAATCCTGGTTTAATGCATGTTAGAGAAAATGACAGTGATACCAGGGGCCACATGCTCCATTTAGAAATGAAGAAACCAGAGAAATGCAAATGCCAGACTTAATACAGAAACTTCAACTGCAATTTTTGACAGTGTCACTTGACAGAATTCAGTTTTATGCACCAAACAAACCCCCAGATAATCTAAGTTTTTTCCTCCCCACCATAATCACATACCAGTGACCCTGCAAAACTTTAAAGCAAAGACATCAAGGGCACTGGGGCTTTAGAGCAGAAGGAAGAGTCACCCGACCTTGAGAATGGTGATTTCCAAAAATAACCAGCAGTGTCTACCGGACAAGAAGAGAAAGCTTCTACCAGAAGCCCAAGAGAAAACAGCTCCAAGGAAAGTCCTGGAAAATGCTATCCTGACCTTGTCTGGAGCAATCCTGCTCCACTGGTGCCATCTCAGCACTGATCTTCCACAGCAGCCACACATCAGGGGCAGGACTGTGTCACAGCATACACCACAGCACTTGAGTTGGCCATGATACACAGAGCACCATCACACAACATCAGAAGGCTTCAACCCCTACAGAGTAACACCTTACAACTTCAGAAGTCTTCTGCCCTTCTTGTTCTTTCGCCCAGCCTTTTATACCCTCATGTTCATGCACTGCACCTGTGTGTCCTCTGTTCCCTGTGGTGGTTGGTCAGTGCCCCTGGGCACTCCATGGCTCATTACCTTCACCATTAGTCCCCTTCCTGCACAGCTGCAGCCCCACTCCCGACCACAACAAACTCTGTACCTACAGGACTGGACCCAGGTTGCACCTATCAACCCCTTTGCTAGTTCAGAGTCATTTTTTGTGTATCTTTGTTCTCACTCCCTAGGGCACAAAACCTTGCCTCATTAAGGAATGGCAGTGGGACATTGCTTTATTTCTTTCTAACGGGAAAAAAGTGAAAATACATTTTTGGGTTGGTTTCTTTTTTTTTTTTTTTTTTTTTTACTTTCCCTTCTTGCAAGTTTTCCCATCATATTCTCATTTGCTTCTGTCCATATCTC